TGTCTAATGATTCATCAACCTTCCTCTCACGCAAACATAGGTGAGTATGTGGATACCTACTATAGCTGCGCAATTTCTCTATTGTGTAGGTATACTTACTTACCTTTCTATTATGCGCGCATAATCGAAACATAAAACGTTACTAAAATAAGAAACGAATCGGAGTCATTATCATGACTTTTCACAGGAAGGAACTGAATCATTGCTGTAATAAGAAACGAATCGCAGTCACAATCATGACTTTTCACAGGAAGGAACTGAATCATTGCTGTAATAAGAAACGAATCGCAGTCACAATCATGACTTTTCACAGGAAGGAACTGAATCATTGCTGTATAGTAAAACATTAGAGCTCAACGCCTCCATACTCACTTCGTTAGATTTTTACTTAATGTTGTTTTTTATTTATGAATAAATAAGAAGCAGCAATCGACTCAAGTATATATAGAGATGTGAATTTGAATGGTGAATTTCATTATTGCACACCCTTCTCGAACTTTCTTTCAACATTCGCTACAAATAATAGTTAAGTCGTTATCCTAAGCGTACATAAAAATGAACTCATAAGCAATCTGCTCTATTATATTTAGATTTCACGATCAATATGCGTCTGCTTGCATTCATCTTGAGCATCTGCATATTCGTCAGCGTTACGATGGCTTTCTCGTATGAAGCCTGGTCGAAAAACAACTTTCAAGGTACGGCCAAAACATACACGAAGCGTGGCACCTTCTATCCTGGCTACATCGTCAGGTCATACAGATGGACAAGCAAAGTAGGTGATGGCTGCTGTGTCCGAATGTGTAATGGAGGCGGCAGTGTTGGTTACTATTGCTCATCAAAATCGAACGGTGTTCCAAGTGCATCCTTTAACAAAATTGTCATCGGATGTAACAATGAACAAATTAACTGCTAATAACAAGACAGACAGCCCTCGACTTGATACATTGTACTATCAGCGTAATTTTAAAGTGCTTCTTGCTTCAATTTGCTTAATGTATGTATTGTTCTAAGAAAAACAATGGAAATACATTATGTTCTTCAGAACCATTGAGTTTCGTATCTGATTTTCTTTTCGAAATTGAGAGTGTATGTTAGGGTGAGTACATGGATAACTGGATGGGCGGATGAAGAGGAGACTTATCTACTCTCGTCTACATTCTTTCTTGTTGACCGAGCTTGATCGGTTTAATAAACCACTATCCTTCATTTTATTGAACGTGACATCCTGGTTTATCCACCGGAGCTATCATTTCGACTCTGTTCGGAACATAAGCCACTAAGCGTAGGGATGATTCTCGATATAAAGCACTCGATATTTTACATTTATATCTCACTCAAGCATAATATTTCACATGAGGAAATTCTTTTCTTTTATTTAGTTTAATATTTATACAGGGTGGGCCAAAAGTCATCGGGCAGTCTTTGATTACAAATAACTTTTGATCGGAGCAAGATAGAGACCTGCAATTTTCGTCATTAGATAGAACAATCTTCAGGATACCTACATCTATAAGATTTATTACGTCTAAAGAAGATTTCGTTATTTGCTTCCAAACAAATATCTTTTTTCATTGTCTAATACCATAGATTGTCGTGGTAACCTTAGCTCAACTTACAGCAAGATTTTTTTTAAATGCTAATCACCAATTTTTGAATAACTTTCGACGCGTTCGAGCTACCGAACTGCGATTTTCACCACCCAATAGAACAATTTTAGAGGTATCTATCTATGCAAGACTCATTGGAGTTGTAACCTTTCTTCCTGGTTCTTTTCTAACTGATATCTTTTTCGATATCTCTTTTCAAAGATTCTCATAATCATCTTGATCCAAATCACATCAAATTGTAGCTTATCGACTGTTTTATCTAAGGTGAAATTTTGAGGCCGTTCTATCGTATTGTTGAAAAATGAGACGCTTCACACTAAATGACTGAGATATGCTTCCATGCATGGTGTTCAGTATTTGATTCAGATGAAAATTGAATTGCGCAAGTCTGAATACGATTTGAAGGTGGTGAAGTCAATGCATATTATATTAAAATGCATTTAAATCTGGTTATAAAGAAACAAGATATTGTTATTGAACTTTATCTATTGCCAAAAGTTTATAATCTTTGTACAATGGCTTATGATATAAAAACAAAAGTTGTAATCGCAATATGATGCAATTGATAAAGATATTGTTATGATCTATGTGAATCCTTACACAAGCAAGTTTCGAAATGAAACGCTTCTTTTAAAAAAAAGCTGTTAGCGCAATCCCTTGCGGGATTAAAAATGTGAAACACGATGTAGCTGCTATAGCCGATGTTCTAAAAGCTGTTGTTTTTTATGCATATTGGAATACATTCCTTCATAATGGTTTACCTTACATTATACACTTTGACCCGGATAATATTCCATATATGCTCCAGTCATATGTTAGTTATACATATCTCTGATGTTTGCTTGAATTCTTCTGTCACAGTTTATAATGTCTCCTGGGTCCTATCAATCATGATCTATGACTGGCCCAGAGACCTGTCTCTGATGGTCACGTGAGTGTCTGCTAGAATCTGTGAGGGAGGGGGGTGGGGAGGAGAGAGTGGGTCTAATTTTCTACACCTAAACACTTCAACACTCGTTTCAGATCGTGTTTCACAAAATAATAGTTGATATTTAATTTCATTGCTTGACAAAAGGTAAAGGTTGATATCTATCTTCAAATCTGCTTCTCCACATATATTTAATGAGATTCGATAGGTCGATCGAAAATAAAAATCTTTTTTTATTTCGATCCGCTGAGAAATTACTCATCGAATAATCCAACACCAATCTGTCGATCTATCGGAAAGTGATAATCCGAGAGTTTGATCTAGAACTCCGATGTCTACAATAAGGTGAAATCCACATATCGATATGCCAGTTATTTCCATTTTAGTAGAATTTCGTTTCACCAACGATGTGTTTCATAAGGTCTGGATATGAATGTTTTTCACTTCACAGTGCTAGTCAGACCCACACTCGTATACTAACAATTCAGATGGTAACTAACTCAAATGATAGACAATCATTTTTTTTAATCAACTAATTAATTATAATAAAATGTTCTATATAGAATGAATGACAGTTGATCCTGGCTCGTTTTTTTTGTTATGAATTCATTCGAGAATATTGAAATTGGTGAAAGTTAAATTCGGCTAAAATGAATTAATTCGAAATGTCTATTGAATGGCTAATAGGAATTCTTGATCGCTAAAATGATGTTCAAAAAGTTGAAATAAAACAATTCGATTTGAATACTGGTTGACATTCGAATAGATTTAAATGTTTTGTCACAAAATAGTATTATTATTATGGATTATTCTAATTTATATTAATATTGAATCAAAAATAAACACACTTATTTTATGAAATTTTTAAAATAAAACTCGTCTTGTTTTGCCAGTAAATTAGTATTGATCAATTTTTGTATGAAAATAAATTTGTTATTATCATAAAATTCAAGATGACCTTATTATTTCGGATATATATGGAATCTAAAGACGCAGAGTTTTCATGGTACACTTAAAAATGTGTTTATTTTTTAAAAAGTGAGGAAAGCATAAAAATAAACGAATGTTCTGTCAATATTTGAAAGATTAGAAAATGTCGTAAATAGAAATGTGGTTTAACGGCTGTTCTTTAATATTGACATAAAAAGTTTTATCAAAAACTAATCAATATGATTGTAATATATTCTTGAATTTTAACAGAAGCAACCTGAATTTTATAGCTACCATAAGATGAAACTTCTAAATGATGTCGCGTCTCTTATTCATAATAAAAAGAATTTCAATGAAATGTTATTATGTCTTTTCTGTCAACACGTCAATTAATTTCTTATTTACTTCAAAAATCAAGGACAAATGATAACTATCATTAAGAGGCGTGCAATAATAAATAGTAAGATACGAAATCTTTCATAGAGTAAAGATTTTTATTGATTGTCAAAGTATTTTAAGTATAAACAGTAAACGTCTCTATGATAATAATTTATTTTAGAAGTTTTCAATCTCAATGAATTTTTATAGAATTGAAACTTTAATAGATGAATATTGTCAAAACGAAAATAGATAAAATATTGAAAAATGTCATTATTTAATATGACTATCAGTAATGAGTTGTATTATTGTATTTCTAAATAATTATAATAAGATATGATATTTAGCTTTAAATTTGATCAACCAAGAGAATATAATATCATCTTAACCGATTTGACTTTTTTTTCTTTTTTTACTTTTCAATTTCAAGATAAGTTTTCAATGGATAAGAATAAATACAAGATAGAGAATAATATTTGAATAGAATTTCAAAATTAACATAGTAAATATATTTGTAGAGAATTTATCGAAATATTTATCTATTTGTTTTTTTGTTGGACCATAAATATTGTTAAAATAATTTTGATTTTGACAAAATAATATTCTTAAAAGAAAATAAATCTTCTAATGAAATATTTGATCTAATAACATAAAAGAATAAATTTCAAATAAAGTTTATTATTGGTTAAAAAGTTTTATCTCAAAATATATTTTAAAATAAGATATTCTTAAAAGTAAATATTCGAATAAATAATCAATACATTCGAAAGATTTTTTTCAAATGTTTAAATCAAAAAATCCTATTTAAAATATATCCGAAATAATGATTATTTGTAAATATCCATAATCATTATTGAAGATCGAAGAAGTATTTGAAATATAATCGGAATGTATCAATAACACATTTATTTTCAAAAAACGGTCATAAAAAAGAAAAAGAAAACTATTCTGGACACTCTTTTTTAATCTCAGAAAAGAATTTAAGTAGAGTAATGAGAATTCTTTCATTGAGTTTTATTGGATTTCTCCTTTTATATTCATATGACTTTCTTTCAGTCAAATATTCGATGTTCTGATAGATGTTTGACAAAGATAAAAGTTTTTCGATATAAATCTATTATATGATTTGAAATACTTCATTCGAATATTTCGAAATGAATCTTGAATTTACTGTAACAGAAACAATAGTCCGTCATTCTGGCAAAATCAATGAAATTCACTATGAATTTGAAGAATTTACTATTGAAAATGTATCTATTGGTATAACAAAGAAAAAAGAAAAACGTGGTAGAATATATGATGCAAATATAACACGAAAACAATACAATCAACTGACTCGAGACATTCATAATCCATTATCATTTGATGATTTTATTCTTGTTTTACGTCCATTTATGATGGGATTTTACCAAAATGATGAATTAAAACAAGCATTTAAAATTTTAGATAAAAATCATTCGAATTCAATTGATATACATGATTTAGTAAATTTTTTACCAATTATTAATGAATATACAGCAATTAATACATTGCAAGATGATATTAGAAAATCCAATTTTAATCTTGATGGACATTTAACTTATGATCAATTCAGATCACTTATATTAAAAGGTATTGGACGTGAAATGATATGTACTAACATGCATAATTGATATTCTCATCTGCATAAGGACAAAAACAAATCTATTATAGTCTTGATATATGTTTTGCTTTTTTTTTTTATAGTTGATTAGAATGAATAAATTTTTCCGTATATTTTTAATTGAAATCTTTTTTTGAAATAAACTCAAAATAATTGATCAATAAATAGATAATTAATATGATTGTTTATTTCAGATTTGCAAAACAATTTTATCATATTATATATTCGAATTTGAATAATTATTTAAGTACGATATTCAATTTTAGTTATGAAAACAATTAGTTACGAACTATTTTTCTATTTAAATAAGATCCATAAGTCAAATAATAATGATTTAAGAGTCTCACTCCGATACTTGTAAAAAGTCACATTTTTTACCAATAAACTCAAAATTGAGAATATTCTATTCTACAATGATTTTACATTTCATCTTTCACAATCATTTATATGTCAAGATTTTTGATGATCGCTGTTAGTTTTTGTTTTAAAAAAAAACTTTTATTTCTTTTACAAGAAACGTTTTTTCAGATGTTTGTTTAGACAAAAAACCGCTTTGGATGTGGGTGCAGGTGTGGTGTGGGTGTGAGTGCGAGTATTATGTATTACTGTTTTCATTACTCACATCCACACCTACACCCGAAACACGATGGACCCATTGTTACTAATTAAATGGACATCGTTTTGTTCCATTTCTTCAAGATAGATTTGTAGCTTACCGTTTATTTGATGCTTCAAAACTACAGTTTCTCTGTCCCGGTCTGTGATAGTCTCCGAGGGTTCTCTGTCACGGTCGATGGGGAGGGGGGAGTGGGTCCAAAATTTCTACCCTATACACTTCAACACTCCTTGCATATCGTGTTTCGCAATACCATTAGGATAGGTTGTTGAAACTATCAAAGCCGTCTTTGACGAATCCAACGGTCCAGTATTATTTGTGATTGAATAAAGCGTTGA